TTCTTGTTCATTAACCTTAGTTGTAGTCTTGGCAGGCTTATTACTGGAATTGCTGTCAATTCTTATTGTCATTTGAGCTTCTACTTACATTAGCATGCATCCTTTTGAAATTAAAACGAGCACAACTAAGATAATGTTGGCTGAATTGCATGCTCTGGGATTGCCTTTGTATGATGTTAAATTGTTCCTTCTCCCCCCTTTTGTTCTATCAGATGCCTTTTTGTATGTCTCTGTGACTAATGAAACTGAGTTTTTTATATAATAATAGTAGAACTCACCAAACGAGTCATAGTTGATGTGAAATGATAAGTACCATTAATATGAGGTCAGATTCTTCATTTGTGCTGATTATGGCATAAATCGCCTAAATGTCGTATTCTAGGACCATTTCTTAATAAGATAAATACTCTTAAACATGAATATGAATCAAAATTTGGGACATTTTTTTCATTTTTTATGTGATATTGAATTCATTTGTGTTTATTCGCCTATAATTAGGCTTCTACTAATAGTAAGTTTATCACTGGACCCCTTTTTAAACAGGTATGCCGCCCATTAACCTATGTGCCTATATATAGTATAAATATCAACATTGCCAGTACATGTTAAATATGACTTCTGGGATACCGTTGCAATGAGGAATTGAGATATTTCTTTGTTTGTTAAATCAAGAGTTTGTCTTATAACTTACAATTAAAGTTAAGGTCTTTTTCCTTTTCAAAATGGATATATATGGATGCATGGCTTTCAGGTTTGAACTGATTTCCATATATTTGTGATATGTCGGAATTAGAAACTCGAAGAGTATTTCATGGAAAATTTGAGTTCTATAATGTAATAATTGTCAATGCCTTATTAATAACAAAAGGGTCCTTCTGAATACCACAAGTGTTGTCCCCGGTTCTACGCCTTCTTATACAAACCTCTTTCTTGTGTACTTATACTTTTATGCAATTGTCTTGATTATGTGTATTAATAGTCCCTAATGATTAATTACATTGACAAACATGTACTGATTATGATGCAATTTGGGTCCATCTTTTATATATTTAAACTTGGTGTTTTATGTTGTTGATTCGTCCTTCTTGGTTCTCTTTTGCAGCTTACAGAGATTGTGAACCAAGGGAAATTGGTATCTGATGAGATAATTATAAGCTTATTGTCAAAGAGGCTTGAGACGGGAAGCTAAAGGTGAATCAGGATTTATACTAGATGGATTTCCCCGAACAGTTAGGCAAGCAGTAAGTAATTTATTCGTCTATATTAGCTTTCTCACAGACTCTCTCCTTTAATGTTCCTCGAGATATGTCATGACAGATATGATATACTAGATATTAAGCTTTCTATAAGAAGGTATTGTTTTCAGAAGAGAATTGCTGCTAATTTTGAGAACAGATTTTATAGTCTTGCTAATGATCCTCCACATCTTAGACTTGGTTAGGATCCTTGCGTTATTTTAGAACGAACTTCTTAATATATACTGTATGCTCTGGTTCACAGGATTGAGAAAAGAGAAGAAAAGATC